ATCTGATAAAGCCGAGGACTATAAATAATTTTTATTAATTCGAATCTATGATAAGCCAATCACATTTCTTAAATTTATAGTACTTCTCGAATCATATTGTGGCGGGAACATACAATAAAGATTTCCCGGTCCTGTTATAATATAATGTTTTCTTTATAAATAGATATGGAATATTTATTTTACTATAAATAAAGATCGCTTGTCTGTTAATATTGAAATTTGCCCGTAAAGTAAAGTATTAATTTTTTTAAAATTAAAGAAATTTTTTTTCACATTTTTTGATCTAGATAAAAGATAGATAGAATACCCTCAATTTTTTTTTTGTAATTTTCTTTTAGAAATAAAGTGCCGCAATTAAATATAGATACCACTTAAAGTTGAGTAATTAGTATCGCAAAATAATGTATCGCAATTAAAAATGTAACCGCAAGCACGTGCCTAAATTTTCGCATATGGTCTAAAATTTAGGCTAGTACGAATATTTCAATTTTGCTATTTCGGTAGGCCTAAATGTTCTAAAAATTTCCGATAATTTCGAAAATTTAATTTTTAATTACGCATACATGTATGCATCAAACCAAGGTCATAGAAGAAAGTCACAATCAGATAGTAGACGAAACAGTAACGGAGTTCAAGGTTCCGAAAGTGGTGGATCCGGTAGTGACAATAATGTTACTGATGACATCGTCAAAATTACTGCTTCATTAGACAATATTAATATATGTGATAATGAAAATGAATCCAAGTCCGCCGCTCAATCTACTACTAATAACGACGCCTTGTCGACAGGCTCTCAGGGACAACAGGAGGTTGAGGAGTGGGAAAAGAGTGCAGATGGCGAAGTAAAGATTAACAATGCTGTCAATAGTCCTGGCGCTAGTCCTGTAGATGGAAATACGAATCCATTTGATTGGTCAGCTAACAAACAAAAGGAAGGTCAAAGGAACGATAATGCTCCCAAAAATGAAAATAGAGGAGCCTTTAAAAAAGGACATAAGAAAAGCAAGAGTAGTAAAATTGAATTCAATTTTGATCCAGGTATAAAATTTACTTTGAATTAAAATAAAATTCTTAGTCACATAATTAACTATATATTAATTTATAATAATTTTTCATAGATGCATTTGAGGGGTCAACTCGGATTCTTGATATCTTTGATTTTCCCGCATCTTTCAAGACTCATCATCTCCACGAAATTTTTCAAGAATATGAAAGTATGCGTGGAGGCTATCGCATCAAGTGGATGGATGATACTCGTGCTTTAATCATCTTTGAACATCCAGTTACAGGTAAAGACACTTTTATGATATCATTTGTACGAATCTTTATTTATTTATATATATATATACATATATTTATATTTTTTTTTTTTTTAGCTCGGAAAGCATATCTAGATAATGTTACAAATCAATTAGCTTCAATCAAACCGTACGACGGCCCCACAGATTTTCTTCAAAAAAGTCAGTTTTACGGTTAATTTATGACTTTTTTTTTAAAAAAAAATAAGGGAAAACTTGATTAATTGTATTTATATAATTTTATAAAGATCCCAATAATGCTCAACCTCGAGCACGTCCTGCTACTACTGATATGGTCGCTAAGCGTCTTGTTCATGGAGCTCTGGGTGTACGTACTATTAGGTCACCTGAACAGCGTCAAGCAGAAAATCAAATTCTTCGGAATGCTAGAGGTAAAAGAATAATTTCAATTTTATTGCTATAATCAAAAAAAACAAATTTTTTTTTAAATTTATGTAATTCTTTTTTATTGTCAGATCAAAAAGACCAACAAAAGCGCAATGAGACTAGACGTTCTCAAGATGTGGACGCGGCCTTCAATGAATAATTTATGGCTACTTTTCAATTTAATGTTCCATTTATGTACTTTGACTAATATGTGTTTCGTAATTCAATTCCGTATTGAAATTCCACTTGGGATTTTCAAAATAAATGAGGGGGGTTATTTTGTTATATATGGTGCAATCATTTATATTTGTTTGTGACGACAAAAATTTTATTTCCATTTAAGTCTACCATCACAATTCTCATTTATTTATTTATTATTATAATTTTGCATTACCTCCTTCATATGTCCTTTTCTTTTCCATATACATTCCCTTTTTCTTTCTATTTCCCTTCCCTTTCTTTTGCCCTTTGACTCTTCTTTGTATAATACATTTGACGATATCTTTCAAATCCTTCCTGAAACTTCCTTGGCACTTTTTTGTTAAAAACGATTTCACCTCCAATTGCGTTAAAATGCATGTTAAATTGTCTTAATACGCGATTACATTGTGGAACAAATCTAATGTGGAAATTTTTTTTTTTTTTGAGTTGGATTGATATTTTACTATAAATAGAAAAAATTTAAGAGATTTCAATAATAAACGTACCTTGTGGCCACTCTGACCTTTTCTGCGTAAATATTTTTCATAAAAAACATTACCAAAATAGTCGCGGCAATAAAGAGCATTAATTTACAGAAAAATTGAAAAGTTGGATGCTAAAATATCCCAAGGATGAATTTTTTTTTTTAAAAAAAAATTACATTAAAAGTGTATATTATATTTTGAAGTCAACTGACCCCCCATTCTTTCAATTCATAAAAGAGCATTATAATGATAAAAACTTACTTTATTTTCATAGACAAAGACTGCATAAATTAAGATCGGAAGTGACAGACAAATTAACCCTAAAAATGCTTAAATATTATGAAAATATAAATAAATAAATAAATGCATTATTTACAATAATAAAAATATAAATAAACATTATTACAACATTAATTATTTTAATAATAACTCATTAAGTCACCTTCATATTTGTAACTTCTTCTCTGTAATTGATGTAAATTCTGTTTAAGTCTTTCCTCAAATATTAAAAGATCTTTAAATCTTTGATGATTATTCGATGGTGGAATTGTTGAGGAAGAATTGCTGAAATTTACTGAATCAGTGAGCGTGGAAGGTATCATAAGCTTGGGACTATTCTCTGTAGAAGTTATGGGTGAATCGAAAGACGAAGAGGGAGAGGAATTTATTGAAGTAAAATTTCGCGATCTTGTATACATTCTTCTTAGGTGTAATAATAAAGGTTATAATAAGTATTCAAATTTAAATACTTAAAAAAAAAGCGCGGTTTATTAAATATCGAACTTTATTTATCGCAAATTAATACTTTGATAAATTTCCTAGTCATGTGTTCACTAATTTATCATTGGCCGAAATTATATATAAAAACGATCTGTTAAAAAAAAATTGATTTCTTATAAAATAAAGTATGGAAAAATTGAAAAGGAATTAAATAATGTAAAGAGAAGCATAGTATAGAAAAGCGGAGAAGTTTATGAAGAAGAAGGTTTAAAGAATTCTAGGGTTGGAAAATTTAAAAGAAGAAGAGAATAATTTAAAAAAAAGGTTGGAAAATAGATAAGAATAGATGAAATATTTATAAAAAAGTATTACTTGAAAAGTAATAAATAAAATTGCATAAAAAAAAATAATATATAGAATTATTTTATTTGTTATATAATTTATAACTTTAACTGACTGTTATTTTTTTTATTGGTTATTACTAATTTAATTTTTTTAAAAAAATATTCAATCTTATTTATCTATTTAACTTCTTATATAATTTAAATATTAGAAAAAGAGATTTAAAAGATAAGAGTATAATAAGAAAAAACATGCAAATAAATATTATCCCTTAAATGGTAGAAAATTGCAGGCAAATTTGCTTGCAATTTTAATCAGTTTTCATTAAATTTTAACTTAAAATTTTATTAATTAACTTATGGTTTTATTTAAAATATAACAAAGTTTGATTAAAATTATTTTATTAAGGTAAAACTTTTTGTATTATTAAAAATATATAATTTTTATAAATTTTATAATAAAATTTTATTTTATTTTAAATTTTATATACTTATTTTAGTATTTATTAAAGTATTAAATTTAAATTTTTATGTTTATATATAGTATAAATATATAAAATTGCAGGCAAATTTACTTACAAATTTAACTAATTTTAATTAATCTTAATTCAAAATTTTTACTAATTAACTTAATTTTTTTTAATTTTTATTTAGAATAAGATATGTATTTTATTATAAAAATATTAATATTTTAAAAAAATCTTTATAATAAAATTTTTTATTAAAAAAAAACATTTTGTATTATTAAAAATATAAAATATCTTGATATTTTAAATAAAAGTAATAATATATTTTAAATAATTTAAAAAATTATTTTATATTAATTAATTAAACTTTTTAATTAATTTTTAACTTATATTTTTATTAATTAATCTAAATTTTTTTTGATTTTTATTTAGATATATTACAAATATATTATAAAAATATTATTTTTGAAAAAGTTTAAAATAAAAAATATTTTTATTAAGATAAAACTTCTTGTATTATTAAAAATACAAAAAAATATGAAAATTTATTTTATTAAAATTGTTTAAAATAATTTCTTTTAAATAAATAATTAAAATAAATTTATGATATATCTTAAATGAATATTAAAAAAAAATTTAGGTTAATTTGTAAAATTTAAGTTAAATATTTAATTAAAATTTTAAATAAATAAAATTTCAATTTTTTTTTGTATTTTTAATAATACAAGTTTCATCTTAATAAAATATTTTTTGTTTTAAACTTATTTAAAAAATAATATTTTATAGTAAAATTTATAATATATTCTAAATAAAAATCAAAAAAAAAAAATTTAAGTTAACTAATAAAATTATAAGTTAAAAATTAATTAAAATTGGTTAAAATTGTAAACAAATTTGCTTGTAATTTTAGCCAATTTCAATTAATTACTTTTTAAATTTATTTAAGATATATTATTACTTTTATTTTAAAAATAAAAAATTCATTTAATAAAATAATATATTAAATGTTTTTGTTTTTTTAACATTTTTAACAAAAAAATTCAATTTATAATTTATTAAATAATAATTTATTATTTATATTTTTAATTTTTACTTTTAATATGAAAATTTAATAATGATTTAATAAAATGGTATTAATTAATATTTTATAAATATTTTTATTTATTTAATTATTCAAATTATAAAAAAATTAAAATAATATATTTCTTAAACTATTATAATATAATTTATAATTTATACTATATTTGAGATTTTAGTAGAGATTTTAATTTTTTTCATTATTTTATTTTGCTAAATATTTATTTATATTATATATAAGCTATTCTATTATCTTTCTATTTTAAAAAATAATTATTTACAATTAATCTTTTCAAAAATAATTCAAAATTATTTATAATATAATTTTGTTTTATATTTGATATTGATACTAATATGAGGTGAGTGTTAGAAAAAAGGATCAAATCATTAAAAAATTATTTTTTTAAATAATAAAAGTTCTGGATCAAATAAGATAATCAGGTTTAATTTTACTTAAGAATAATTTTTTAAAAAAATTTTTGATTTAGTCCCTTTTCCTAGCATTTATCTTATATTAAAGTTGATACAACTTTTTACTTATTCTTACTATACATTTCTCTTTTATTTTCTAATTCTAAACTATTTTTAATTAATTTTTATATAACATTTAATCTAAATAATTTATAATTTACATTATTATTATTTTTATTTTTGAAATTAATTAATAAACTAGCACCTTTGATACTTACTCCGCTAACGATGAGATTACTGAAC